GTGTGGTCAGTGTGTCAACGCAGCTCGAGACGTTGAATATCTTGTAGCAAGTGAGTGGTGTTGCTGCTGTCCACACACGCACACACACCCACACTGTCACCACACACACACGCACGCACACACACTCTCACTGTCACCACGCACACACACACACATACAGCCTGTCACCATACACGCACACCCACACCCTGTCACCACACACACACACTCACACTCACACTGTCACCACACACACGCACGCACACACATTCACACTCACCAGGCACACACACACATACAGCCTGTCACCATACACGCACACCCACACCCTGTCACCACACACACACTCTCACACACACACTCACACTGTCACCACGCGCACACACATATACAGCCTGTCACCATACACGCACACCCACACCCTGTCACCACACACACACTCTCACACACACAGTCACACTGTCACCACGCGCACACACACTCTCACACACACACCCTGTCACCACACAAGTGTATATTTTTGCCACGCCCAAAATTGTGAATGTGTAAAACCTGTATGGTTCTGTTGAAGAAGCGCCTCAAAAGTCCCGGGGTAACGGGGATATGCATTTTTCCCCCCTTTCTTTTTATTTATTATAGTTTTGATTTTGAATACTTCAAATTTTCCATATTGTTGCACTGGCAAACACTACAGAGTGGGTGGTTGGCGGGTGCTCTGGTGTGATTTGCTCATTCTTTGCTATGAAACATCTCTCGTCCTAATGTCTCTTTCTTTTTTGTTTTTGTTACTCTCTTGTAACACCTCTAATCTACTTCACTTATATGACCTTGTTGTGTTGCAAGTGCCGTAAAACTCTTTTACTAAAAAACCAGTAGAAAACTGTAGAGCTGATAATGTTGTACCGTGGCAAACACTGTGGGCAACTGGACATATTGCCGGGGGCTCGAGTCTTCCACCACGGTACCAACACTTTCCTTTGCTCATATGGAACCATTAGATGCTTTCCCCCGACGGGACGCCGATGGGCGACGGTGGGACATATAGCATGTACCGCACCTGTATCCTGGTCCCTGGAGAGAAGTGGTGCCTGCTCTGTGCGCTGCGGATTGTGTCAATGGAATTGGTTCTTTCGGGGTGCGCCATTCAGATCAAATTTTCTACTGTACATGTTTTGACTTTGCTGTTGGAGGTGCTGTGTGTGTGTTTGTATGTTTGTATGTTTAGGGAGGGGGGGGGCATAACTGTGTTGTTGGGACGGAGGTGTGTAGGAATCTGTTCCAACTGGAGTGGGTGGGGAGGGGGGTGTCTGGCGGGGTCACACAAGGTAGTGACTGGAGGGTACAGTACAGCAGTGGCTGTAGAAGACAGGTCAGTGATGTTGTAGACAAGTGACTGCTCTCTGCCGCCTGCACGGTTCTGTCTGCCGCCTCGCTTGGACCGTTTGTTTCTTGTTCAATGTCGGGCAGTGATGCTCCAGCCAGATCCTTGGTTGGGTCCAAATTTCCTTTGGTGTTTTTGTTCCAGGATTTCCAGCGTTGGACTTGTGGAAGAGAAGGAATTGGTGTAACGTTGTGGAAGAGAAGGAATTGGTGTAACGTTCTGAAACAGTTTTCTTTTCTTTTCTGGAATGTTATTTCTTGGTTTCTGGTCCAAAGTCCAAAGAGTAGATGATGAGTGCTGTACTGTGTGTGGTCGGTGGTGTGCACACCCGTCCTAGTGGACGTTGTGCTGCTGTCTTGTCTGGGACAGCGGGGACACTGTTCATCTTGGTTCACTGTAGACCAGATGTGTTGGTTCATTCAATTGTAGATGTGAGATGAGTTGGTTCGGTTCACTGTAGATTAGATGTGTTGGTTCATTGTCATTGTGAGATGTTTTGGTTCGGTTCACTGTAGATGTGTTGGTTCTTTCAACTGTACATGTGGGGTGTGTAGAGAGGGAAGTTGCCTCTGGTACATGTGTGTATGGGGGGCACAGGTTGGTTGTCCTGTCCTGTACATAGTCTGTCTCTGTGTCTGCCAGGCGTTGGCTTCTGTGTGTGTGTGTTTTGTGTGGTTTCCCATGGAGGGTTGACAAGAAGGGGGAGTGGTGTGTCTATAGTCTTGTGTCGCTGTGTGTCTATAGTCTGTGTCGCTGTGTGATAGTCTGTGTCGCTGTGTGTCTATAGTCTGTTTCGCTGTGTGTCTATAGTCTGTGTCGCTGTGTGTCTATAGTCTGTTTTGCTGTGTGTTTATAGTCTGTGTCGCTGTGTGTCTTGTGTGTGTCCATGAGTGGCTGGTGTACAGCTCATGCTCTTCAACTTCAACAGATTGAGAAGTGGAATGTACAGATCACACATTTTGCCCCCACCTAGAACGTGCTGTTCATTTCTGTCCAGAACTCGTGTGATTTGTGTCCCACTGGTGTACATACATAGAAACTAGAACTTTGTGGATGTTGTCAACATGTATTCAATTCAGGTGGAAGAAAGGCTGAAGGGGTCTGTGTTTAAAGTAGCTTTTTTCCCTTGAATCACATTGTAACAATACCTTACAGAAAGTTACTACTAAATGATTTTGTCTGATGCAATGATGTATTGTGTATTTTTGCTGATTCTGTCGTAAATATGATAAGGGTCACCTATGTCTTGCTTGTGTTCAGTTTGACAGTGAAACGGTTTTCAAATGAAACTGCTGAGCAGTGAGAATGATTTGCTCTGTAGTATTTAGTAGGAGAGAGAGTGAGAGAGAGAGATTGAAAGAAAGAGGGAGAGAGAGAGAAAGTTGGAGAGATAGAGGGAGATAGAGAGAAAGTGGGAGAGATAGAATGAGAGAGAGGGAGGGAGAAAAAGTGTGTGTGTTTTGAATGAGTGAGTATGTATCTCAGAGTGTTTATTTTTGTTACTTATGTGTACAGCTCAATAAATATTGGGGACTGACTCCCTCAGAGCACAGCCTGG